CACAGAATAACAACTGGTCATATTTCCACTCGGGGCTAAGCGGAGCTCCGATTTCCAAAGCCACACGAAGCAGGGGCACTCACCTCTGGAGCAATGTAGTCGGGTGTGCCACAGAAGGTGGCCGTGGTGACCCCATTGCAGATGCCCTCCTTGCACATTCCAAAGTCGGCCAGTTTACAGTGGCCTTCGTGGTCCAAGAGCACATTGTCCAGTTTCAAGTCTCTGAAAGAAACCAAGAACAGCATGTGTTGGGCAGCCAGACCGCAGTGGCTGCACGGGCTTTCTCTGAGCATACTAAAACATTCCTGAACAATCTTCTGTGGGTGATTGGGATTTTTTTTTTTTTAAAAAGGAACACCAACTCTCAGAACGTGCATCAGGGACCCTAGAAGGTGAGTCCTCAGGAACGGGCTAACCACATAGAAGAACGGAGGCCACATTTTAGGTACTGAGGGAAGAATGTGACTTTCTAGGTTTTCCAGGTACTTTGTACCCATAAGAAATCCACCTACCAACACTCTATCTTCCATTAGTACCTATTTCTGCCCATTGGCATTCACTCAGTGCTCATTCATGGAACAAGTGGCAGCTGTGTTCCAGGGACTATGACAGGCATTCAGAGTTTGGAGGATCATAGCCAGGTGGGGCGCACACCTGTAATTCCTGCACTCTGGAGGAAAAGGCAGGAAGGGTCGGAGTTGGAAGCCAGATTGGGCAACATAGGGAATTCACTGCCAGCCTGGGCTAAAGAGTGAGAACGTGTAGGTATGTCTCAAATATGTTCACAAGGAGCTCATAATGTAACAGGAGCACACATATGGGATAAGACCTGCAGCTCCGTGCAGAAAGGCATCTGGTTAGCTTGGTTCACTATTATGCCTAGCACTGGATCCTTAATAAATATTTGTTAAACATATGGTGGGGAGGGAAGAGGAAGGAAAAAGGGAGGGAGGGAGGGAAAGAGAGATGGAGGGAAGGAGGAGGGAGAGTGTGTGTGTCACACATGCACACAGATAAAAAAAAATATCAATCACTGGATAATATCAGGGAGACAGCAGAAATAGAAACTCACTATTGTGAGGGAAACAAGTCAGAAAATGAATTCCTTCCAACAGGAGGAGAGAGGTAAAGCATCACAGTAGAAGAAACCGAGACAGAGTCTCCCGGGCTGAGGAGGGTGTGAGGTTGTGGTAGCAGACGGACTGAACAGGTGCCCAGCAGCAGGCAAGGAGGTATGGATGTGCAAGTGGACTGAGAAGACCGCATCCTGGAGTGCAGCCAGCCGGGGAGCACAGAGCCATGAAGAAAATGCCACGGGCTGGAGAGAAAGCTGGGTCTTTGAAGCTAGGACAGTCTAGTGTCACGTGAAAGAATTTTGCTATTTAATTACTATGTGGAACTGAAGCAGCAGCCTGGTTAGGGAGGAACAGGTTCCCTGCAGAACAGGAAGAAATCAGCTGGGGCAGTTGGAACATCTAGGGGGAGGATGACACCTTAACCAGGTGGTGGTGGTGGAGCAGCCAGTCAGGGGTGGGTGGAGGAAGGGCAGGGTAAGCAGAGATGTTGTGAGGCGCAATCAAATCAGCAAGGGCTGCAGATGTGGTGACCCAGGAAACAGCAGGAAGACCACCCCCCACCCCCTACCCCACCAGGTTCTGTCTTAGAGCCAGCAGGTTCTTGAAAAGGAGACAGAAGTGAACACAGCGTCTGTGTGAGTACACTCCAGGCCACAGAAGGCCTAGACATTGGGGATCTCAGATAAAGACCCTTTCTACCTCTCTCCCAACCTCTTAGAGAAGCCACCGCAGGGAAGTGGATTGTTTGGTAAAACAAAACAACAACCTTCAGTGTAGGGAAGCACGTGTCTCACTACGGGCTGACGACAGTTATCAGCAGGCCAAAGGCAATGGTGTCCTAACACAGCTTCTCCTGGTACAGGCTCTAGCATCCAGCTGTCAATCACTAGCTACAGGCTCTAGCATCCAGCTGTCAATCACTAGCCACAGCCTGGGCACTGTTACCAAGGAAGGCTGCAGCTAGCACAGGCTGGGCAGGAGTCCTGCCGGCCATCACGGGTTCCTGCCACCCAGGCCTAGCAAAGAGCATGTGGGAGATGTGGATGCTTCGCTTTTTAAAGGAATGATGTGCTCAGAGGCAATCCACAGGACGGTCGGAGGGGAGAAGGTAGTATGTCAAGCAGGGATGCTGGGTGACGTGGAGATTTCCCAGAGCTGGAGATAGGCAGGCAACTGCCAATCAGTGCGATTACTCTGGCTTTGGGTCACTTGACACCCCCCACCACCACCCAGTGTCTTCAGTATATGGAGCTGATGGTTCTCCAGCGTCTTGCACTCACAGTCGGTGGGTCATGGGCCTGTCTCCCTATCCCTGATCTGAGAAAAGGCCCCTGGGTTGTGAGGTCAAAAGGAAAAGGCTAGCCTCTGCCCAGCTTGGATTGCGTTGTGGCTCAGGGGGGAGGGGAAGGCGGAACCGGCCTAGCCAGCCGTGGTTCCTTGTGCGTTGGCACGACCCATCTGCTACGCCTGACAACGGGCGTACGGTCGAAGGAAAAGGCCCAGGAATGAAAACGGAGCCCCGTGCGTGTCCAAGAATGCTTTGCAGAGAACACGGCAGAGCTTTCTTGGCTCAGGCCTTCCCTCTGCTCCTGTGATCTATGACGGCTGTCTTCGGGGTCAGGGACCTAAGACCCAGACACGCTGGGTACCTTTGTGCCCACCTCGGCAAGGCGAGCTTCCTCCGCCCAGAAGCCAGCACCACTCCCATTTCACACAGAAACCTCCTTCCACAGAAGCCACTGTGTGTTTCAGTGGACTGTGGTTACGGATGCCGTCTCCTCTCTGCTCCCCCTCCCCCACGCCCCACCCCCCGCCTCCGGTGCCCAAAACATGAGCACAACAGTGTGAATGCAGACTGGACTCTCGGGAGCACCGTGGGGCATGGAGAGTGAAGAGGACATCGTTTTGTCACACCAGGAGGCCACTGCCAGGCACATGGCCTCGCCTAGCCGTCCGCCCTGGTTTCTGACACAGGAGGTCCCTTGGACACCTGTCACCTGGCTCCTGTGAGATCAACCACAAAACTCTAGGGAGGCGTCCTCTGGCTGAGGAGAGATGGGCGAGGATGTAGGTACAGGAGACATACAGGGACCGGGCCTGCGAGGTCCTTACCCACTGGCCTTACCCACATCACGTCCCAGCCCAGCAGTGCAGGCCTGTGTGGGCCTGAACCCTGAACACTCTCACTTACATTCCCAAACAAGGTTATTGGGTTTCTGAGCTTCCCTGAAGCCGTTATGCCTGCTGAAGTCTCGAGAAAGGATCTTGGGCAACAGCAACAAGTGCCGGCAGGGACCCACAACGGTCTTTTACAGCCGAGCTGGTTGCTCAAGAGGGCGTGTGACTAACATCCCAGGTAGGCGGAGGCTTCATTGCTTATTACTCAGCAGCTGTCATGGGTGGCGGGATCGGTGGAGGAGAGAAAAGTGCTTGGTCATCAGCTTGCCAGGCCTCCGTGGCAATCTCCTCCACACAGTGAGTCCTGGGACAGCTTTTGGGCGACACACCTGAGCAACACAGGGGATGTGACTCATTCTGGTCATAAGATGCCCAAGGTCACAAAGGTGTGTGTATGTGTGTGTGTGTGTGTGTGTGTGTGTGTGTGTGTGTGTGTGTAGGGGGAGGGGGTTACACAGCTTGAACCTGACATTTAAGTCTACTTTTAGGCATCTTTAGAATGTGTAAGTCCTGAGGAAAATGCTGTAGTGGGTTTTTTTTTATATCAGGTGTTACCTAATAATGCAAAAAAAAAAAAAAAATCATTTCACATTGGGATTCCAAGATGATTCCATTAATAAGCATAATATAAAATCAGCTCTGCCCTGAGCTCAAGAAGCTCATATGTCCACTTTGAAGTCTGTCCTGCTATCCTGAGACAGACAAACTAAAGTCAACTCTGTCTTTAGACTACTCAGTTCAGACTTCTACGGCAGCACGCCTGCTCTGGCTTCTAGAAGGCTCTGTCACGCACCCTCCTTTCCCTTAGCAAAACCCAAGCATAACTCCTTCCCAGGAACCTTACTCCTTTTGTTCAGGGCAGCCCCAGGTGCCAAAGAGGGAAATGGATGGATTCCAGATGCCTAACATGGGCTGCCCTGAACAATTCAGAGCCTGGCTGATTTTTTTAGGGACAAGGAAAGATGTTCCACAAGACTCACTGAGACCCTTGTTCTGAAGTAAGTGAGTGGCATGGCCATGTTTCACACACCTCGAGACAAAGTCCAGAGGGAAACTAAAAAACCTGAAACAAAAGTTCAAATCCCTCTTCTGAGTGAAACTGGAGAAAGGAAATTGATCTGGAAGTAGAAACTCGGGGCCAGGAGGGCTGAGCAGAACCATTGTCCCTCTGCTGGCCTGCATCCAGAAGGAAGAGTTGAACATTAAGAAGGTAGTCAAACAAACCCAGCGCTACTGAGCCATGACCAGCCAGCTTCCACACTGGGAATCAACCACACTTCTATTGGAGTGAGGGGACCAAATACAAAAAAAAAAAATATGACTCCATGGCTTCTGACTGGAACCTGCAAAACTGCAGAGGTCAGTTTTCGGCTTTGGAGCTTCCTCAGCTTCAGATGCCAACATATAACACCACACCAAACTTAACACAGCTACACGATGAAGATTACCAGTTCACACAGGGCAGAGGCTGAGGTCCTAAGAGGCCAAACACACGATGCCAGCTCACCAGTCATTAGCTCCCCGAGCACTGGTATTTAATAGCTAAGGCTTTTGTCTGGCATGCAAAGGCAGGGAGGCAGAGTTATTTTATCCTCCCCACTTGCCTGAAAGGTACATTGTTCTCGCTGGGTAAGCAGGGTTACTTAAAATGCCCACAGTAGTTTCAGAGAGAATTCCCAAGTGGTTGAGGACAAAGAAGATTCAGAAACTGGATTTATTTTGTTTCCACCCTGAGCTGTCCCCCAGAGAAATAAAACAGAATGGTGCTGAGTCCTTGCTTAGTTCACTAGGGCTCAGTTGTCCCTCCAAAAGAAATAAAGGAAGTGAGTAGGGAACAGGTTCCTGAATAAGAATGAATCTAGGGGGCTATTCGCAGTCAGTCTATTCACTATTGGCAACGTGCCACGTGTCTCTATTTATTGATGAAATTGTCACAGAACGCCAGAGGTAGAGGGACAATGCAACGGCAAGCTCATAATTCAGCAGCAGCAGCTCCTGGTGGCAGGCCCCATCTTGTCCTGTGTGTGCATCTCCTCACTCCCTCACTGACCCATCTCTTTTCAGATTATCTTGAAGCAAATCCAATACATGAAGTCAACTCATCTGTACTCTATTATTTGAATCAAAAAGATGATTATTTAGTAAAATAAAACATTGAGTCCACTTACCTTTCTTTGTTTGTTTTTTGTTTTTTGTTTTTTTGGTTTTTTTTTTTTTTTGAGACAAGGTTTCTCTGTATAGCCCTGGCAGTCCTGGAACTCACTTTGTAGACCAGACTGGCCTAGAACTCACAGGGATCTGCCTACCTCTGCCTCCCGAGTGCTGGGATTAAAGGTGTGCACCGCCACCCCTTTTGGAGGGACAAGATGAGCCCACTTATCTTGAAATAGTTGATAGTGAATTGCCTGTCCATCAATGTTCTGCTTTTTGTTGTTCATTTGGTGTGTGTGTGTGTGTGTGTGTGTGTGTGTGTGTGTGTGTGTGTGAGTGAGAGAGAGAGAGAGAGAGAGAGAGAGAGAGAGAGAGAGAGAGAGGGAGATCTGTGTATTGGGGGCATG